TTTCTTTAAGGTCTAACCAGCAAAAGACCATAATTTATCCAATAAACTCTTTAAAAACTCTCTTTCTTTTCTATCTTTTTCGCTATAAAAATGTTGTCGGTTTTGGTAGTTTTTATGTTTGTTAATTAGAGCATATAAATTAGGCATAGATAGAGAATTGGTTTGATTTTGGGTTGGTTTTTCTAATTCTCGGATTTTCTTTAATAAATCCTTAACTTTCTCCTGCTCTTGTTGGTAAAGATTAGCAAAATTAGAGATAGAGTTTTCAATTTCAGGGCAACGGGAACATTTTGGAAGTTGTAAACTGGTTTCGGGTTGTAAAATTATTGGTTGTAAACTCTCATTTTTTACAACCATTTTATTTTCTTTTTTTACAACCTGGGGAGATTTTACAACCATTTCCTCCCCTCCATTTTTTACAACTCCTTTTCGTTGTAAATAATTTTGCTGAAAATAGCCTGTGGCTTTTCGTTTTTGGTTATATTCTTTTCAATATTCTTTATCTTTGTTTATTGGCATTTTCTCGATTAATCTTGTAAATAATTACTAATTTCCTTTTCTTTCATCATATTAAGAAGACTGTTAAAACTATTATCAACATTATTATTAGTTGGCTGCTTTCACAACTTACTATAATCCTGATATAAATATTCAAAATCATTGTGAATATAGCCAATGGTAGTTTCTAGACGGGTATGACCTAATAACTTTTGGATAGTAGTTAAGTGGGTTCCTCTATTATGTAAGTGAGTAGCAAATGACCTTCGAAAAGTATGAGGAGTTATTCGTTTCCTAATTCCTGCTTTTAAAGTTCGTTGTTGGATTATTTGCCGAATGTATTCAGTCGGTAAAGGTTGGTTAGAATTACCCCGTTCATTAGCCCTTTGGCTGGGGAATAAATAATCTTTTAAATAAGGATTAAAAATGGAAGCCAATCATTCGGGCACAAGCACATAACGGATTTTCTTGCCTTTTCCTATTACCTTTAAGGCTCGATCCTGAAAATCACGATGTCTAATATTTACTAATTCGGATATTCTTACTCCACTATAAAACAACAAATCGAGGATTAAATTATTTCGTTCATAAGTCTTGTGGCTTATTTCTACTTTAACAGCCTTTAATCTTGCCAATTCCAATTCATTAATGGTAGTAAAATATTTGGCTTGAACCTTTGGAAGTAATTGTTTTACTTTTTCCCAATCAACTTTTATTTTTAAGAATTTAGTATAAGAAATTAAAATAGCTTTTTCCAAAAAGAGATAGCCAATTTCATATTTGGTTAAATTCTGCTGGAAAATTTTTTGGATATTAGGGGTGATTAGAGTTTGTTCATGATACTTCCTAATCACTTTTAAATAAGTTTGAATGGTATTGGGAGAAAAATTTTTTCTTTTTAGTCAATTAGTATATTTGGTTAAGTTTTTTTGTTGTTTTGAATTATTTATAGTTTTCATACTAATATTTACCAATATTATAATTCATACTGAGCCTTGGGTTTTTTGGGAGGAACTTTTTGACAGTTTCTACATAGTCGGTTAAATACTCTTTCAATACATTTGACTTGCTGGCACTTTTGACAGTGCCGATTTAGTCAGATGGTTAGTAAAAAAGTTAAAAAAATGTTTTCGGTGATTAAGATGGTTAAAACTATTTGGTTCATATTGATGGTTGCTTTTCTTGGTTTTGTTCGATAGATTGTTTACAATTATTACAGGTTCATTGCTTAGCTATTTTCACGGCTCCTAGTTTGATAATCTGCTGGTAAGTGGCTACTTTTTGACAGTTGGGGTAATTGTATTGGCATTTAGGATTTGGCATGAGTGGTATTAATGGAGGCTTTTAATTTATGTCTTTTTCTAAAACTTCCTCTACTTGCTTTTTTTCTTCCTCAGTTAGTTCTCGGGGTTTACCAGACACTTTATCAGGGTCTAAATTATCGGAAGTGGGTATCAAAAATAGTTTCTGTAAAAAATATTTCACGGCATAAGTTTCAGCTGAACCTTTGGCTTTGGC